GATTCCGTGACAGTGATCATGTGGATCCGAATGACTTACCAACCTTTTCTGTTTCTAGTGACACAGATGGATTCCACAAAATTAAACGGGTATTAGGAAAACGACATTCTAAATATTTAGTACAAATTGTGGGTGAACCAGCCGAAAATGCAATTTGGGTTCCATTGTCGGCTTTAAATGCTAAAGCCAAACGTGCTATCGACACGCGACCGCCACCTAACTTATGACGTCTTTATACAATGTATTAAAATGATTATGAACACTTGAAAAAACAAAAATGTAAAAACAGAAAATCATTGAAAAAAAATGCATGTTACATTTGTGTATACTGTTGATATATCTTGATTTTCTTTGTTTGCATAATATGTTTGTTTGATACTTTTGATCTGTATTAATTTACAGTGTTTCATATGTATGTTTATGTAATTACGGATGTTTTATTCCACAAGTATTACAGCTTATACATATTGGTGAAAACGGTAGAAATTGAGAAGGTAGGAATTACTAGTATGAGATATTTGTGGCATACATCGTGTGATATGAAAATTTTGTGTTGGTTTGATATTGTAATTGCTTTTCTAACCAAGGATGTTTTATTCCGACAGGGTTATACCTTATGCAATTCTATATAGTAGTAGTATGCAGTATTTGTGGCATATATTGTGTAACATGAAAATTTTGTGTTGGTTTGATATATTAATTGCTTTTTCTAACCAAGGATGTTTTATTCCAACAGGGTTATACATGTACCTCATGCAATTACGTAATTGAATATTGTTTTATCTTTATTTGAAAGTGGTATGATTTATTCTAACCGAGGATGTGTTATTCCATACAGGTTATACTTTGAACAACCATATTCGAGAATTTGTTGTTTACATTTTTTTTACTATGCATTGCAGCGCAAGTTATGAGTTCTTATGATGCACTCTGATTTGAATATTATGTTCGTATGAATGTGAGAATGTTTGATGGTACCACTGAATGGTGTATAAATGCTTCGAAAACATTTTATTCACTTCTGATTTCATTACTAGAATGTATTTTTCTTCTTGTACATGTATTATATTTTCTTCATTATCATTTTGTATAACATTTCTTTTGTGTGCGTATTTTATGATTGTCTTTATCGTTTAATGTTTAAAATTGTATGCCAATTTTTTTAGGGGGCGGATGTTATATACATGCGTATAAATTCATATTTTTGATAAAGACAATTTGTTAGTTTCTTAGATGTACTTATGATTTAGGTATTGTTTAAATATTATAATTGATGTACTGGGAATTTGTAATTGAAAATTAATTGTTTTATTTGATCTTCAGAAAGAGCACTGCTGCACGTGTTTGTAATTTCTCAAACTTGACATCTCTCTCTCCATCCCACGGTATCGATGCTATTAGCTCATAATTGTTATCAGGTTTATGGTCAGATCTTAGACTGGTGTTTCTTTGAATTTGTTATGCTTACTCAAATTGTTTCCTGTGTTATAAATTAATGTCATTGAGCTTTCCCCAAACTTTACTACTGTCTTTTAACTTGTTTCATTGGTTCATTTATGAAATGTGGGAGGAGTTGTCAAAGATGAGACGTGCCTGAGTTTATTTGTAATTCACTCTCACTTTAGGAATTTTTGTGTAAAAATGTAAATTTTGATTTTGTACTTTTGGACTTGAATAAATTCTAAACTTTATCCAGGAATTATCATTTCAAAACAATATAATTATTACAAAGTAATATGAAAAATAACGTCTCATTTCCCCATGTGCACTTTCTAACACAACCACAAATAAATCGGCCGCTGCTGTGGACCATAAAACCCCATTTAAGGCAGAAATTTGTAAATCGAGTTATGAGAGACGAATTTGGCTTTGCCAATGTCAGATTTCTTTTTAATATTTTTTAAAATTAACATGTAAATATTTTTTTTTTTAAAATCAACGCATTTACTTTTTGACAATTTTGCATGCTAGATAAAAAAAAATCAATTATTTTCTTTAGTATTTAAAAAAAATAAAACATATAATTCAAGCAGTATTATTTATAAATAAATGATGAAGCTAAATAAACTTACACATTGACAAATGCAAATCAACAATATGCCAAGAATAGCAGGACAAAGCCGCTTTGTTATCAGAGTACACATCATTCTTTATCTAATACTGATATAGACTACTTCAAGAGAAATTTAAAGTATTTATTTTATATCAAGCTGTGAATTGAAAATTCATGTGAAATATGAAGCACTGAAAATGTCAAAGTTGCAAGCTTCGGTCAGTCAGAATCATAATTGTGGTATTCATTAATTTCTTTCGAAGTGGGATTGTAATTCTACCTTTTAGAGGGCAATTATTATTAAACATTGTTATCTTCAAACTGTCACATATTTAATTTCTCTCATGGTTAATTTGTAAATATTGACGAAATTAAAATGTAATATATTAAATTTTATACTGAATATATAATTGAAATTCATAATAAATTATGATCAAAAACTCAAAACTTACTAGTATTCTGTACGTTCTAACTGATATATATACTCATAATCAATAGAAATTAATGAAACTCGAGTTCACTCAACCGTTAAATTATCAGGAAAATTTGTGGGTATAAATAACTGATTTTGCAATGTTAAAGATGTCCTTACTTTTTTGGTACACGGTTATATCCCGTATATAATTTTCACCCTAAAATTAGGGTGTTGCGTTTCTACTGATTGTGAGATATACATTGAAATAAATCTTCAATTTGAAGCGACATAGTATTTTTCCATTATTCATCCCGATACACGAAGGGCGTAACCAGTCGGCAGGTGATACTCACTCCACCAATGAAACTGATCCCACTTCCAATGGTTTGATGTTCGTGTATTTCTTATTGACTTTTGAATTATGTTCGTTATAATCTCTATGTTTCATTTAACCCCCTTCCCCGCAGTCACGCAGTCATACCATTTCCTATTTCTACCGCATAATAACGAATTTACCATTTCTCCGCAATCATGCATTTTTGCGTTTAAAAAGTTCATTTAATTTTCAATTAATTGCCAAATTCCAACTATTTTATACTTGCTTAAATCTCATAAAATAAGAAAATTTAATTTCTTATTAAAACATTACTTCATAATCATATTTACGCTAACGTTAGAAAAAAAACTTGTACCTCGCCGTAAAGTGCTTCCAGCAAAATGGTAACGTAATATTTCGATGACGCGAGGATTCGGTGTATCCTGCAAAACAATTCAGTAAGTTGTGAAGAGTATACACATGCCAGTAAGTCTCTGAAAAGTAAAATTATCTGACAGCATTCGTAAAACTTAATTTGACCCTTTGTGAACAGATCCGAATTTTAGATTTTGATTTCGTGGTTGAAGAATTTTTCAGTAGTAATGAAAATAAAAAATTCCATTTTGTGATGAACATAAATTTGTAGTTTACCTCATACCTGAAACAACGAAAGAAAAACTCATACGAAAATTAGTGATTTCACAGTATATTGCCTTATTAAGTAAAGAAAACTATTAATGGTCTTTAAATATTAACTATTGACCAGCAAATAGAGCCTTTCTCCTTTATTGATTCGGATATGATTTGATTGATAACATATAGTTTAACGTCCATCTTAAGAGTTTTTCACTCATAAAGAAACGTTCATGTATGCCGGTTAAATGTAGGTATGATTAAAAAAATTATCATATTTGATATCGCGATTTCTTAACTTAGTGGAACTCTGTCAAGATGAAAGGTAGGACACGTCTATTGGGTGGGGGCAAATGTGCTATTTATTAAATACAATGCAAGATCGGTCACTGTAGAATTTATAAGGATAGATAAGTAAAATATACTGGTGGAATACCTTGCTAAACAATCACTTAACCAGCGAAATAAATTTTAGAGAGGAACCAATCCTAAATTGTTACAATTTTTTTTTTTTTTTTTTTTTTTTTTTTTTCTTATCTAAGAGGACTCTTCTCGTTGACTTTTCATTGAAAATCGTCACATTTAAAAGCAGATAAAATTTTCCAAACTTTCCTAATTTGACAATCTACTATTTGGAGTTCAATATCTGGCAAAACATTGTGTTTTCGGCATTAAATTGTTCGAATCATTCGATTGTCACCACAGTAAACAATGTCCTCCCCCCCCCCACCAGAAATTTCGAAATTTCTGGATTCCTCTGCAAAAAAGTAGTAGTAAGTTAGATAACTGCGAGGTACTCATTGGTATTCGCCATATGACGTATTGAGACTCCCTTAGTAATATGTTTTAACTCTTTTATTATACGGTGTATTGGTACAAAAATTAGACATTTTCAAAGCAAGTAAATGTAATTCTAGTTTTAACACAGAGCAATTACAAAAGAAATGAAAATAAACTAAATATTGATTACTTAGAATGTAAATAAAATAAATAAGTACAATAAAATGTATTTGCATTTGAATAGATACAAAATTCTCGTATCTACAAGAACCATTGTTTATTTTTTAAACAATATTTACACCGTGACAAAGTTTTGTGATCTGTGGATAGCTCTCAGTGCATACTATTTTACAAGAATGACGACACAATTAACCTTAATAGACATCTACATGACACCACTAACCCTCTCCCAAAATATGATTAGGCTACTGTGTAAAATGTATGAGGATCCCATGGTACCATGGTTTTTTTCATAGAAAAAACGCTCATTTTACGACCCCCATTTGCTCCCCCCTCCCCCCTGGCAAAATGAAAATTCAGAAACCTTACTGCACAGCTACACGACACTACAAACCATATCCCTAAACATAATAAAAATTTAAAAAAGAAAAGAAAAAATGAATATCTTTACAGCTTTACATTACATATTTCATTTATAAATTCATATAATGCATTCAACATATAACAAACTTTTAAGTCTTAAACAACCTATTTTAATATTTTTTCATGTTCTTTGAACCATACAAAACACATAAAAATTAAAAGAAAATATAGTTAATTATTGACAATTTTGACATCCCTAGTTATATAATTTCTTTTAACATACGTTAATAAAGCACGCCTAGGAATATATACATATTTACATGTGAAACAAATTCAGCTCCATGTGCTTTGATTTACGATGTTTGCTATCCATACAAATTATGCAAGACTACAATGCACATTATTTTATACTACGTATACTATATGCTTTCAAATTTGGATTCTTATTCATACCTTGGACTTAAAATTGCATTAACAAAGAACTGAAAAATTCCGAGCAATTCTACATTTTCCTGCACGTTGCTTATCTTCATTCGATCAGAAGGACTGTTGACTTCATCTTTTACAATATTCCATGCTTTCAAAAGCATATCTGTTGAATAAATTTGTTTGCGTTTTATGATGCATAGGTCATCAACCATTCTGAAGAAATTGTGCGCAAGCATGGCCAGATCCCCATTTTCATTTTCGACTCCATAAACGCGATATTCTACTTCTTTCAAAATATCTTTAAAACGACCGTTTGCAGTTTTAAGCTTTTCTTCTAAAGCACTCTGACTGGGACATCTAGTAAATACTAAAATCATGTGACCCATAACTTCCTTTCCCAAAATCCTCTTGACATCTTCCAAGAGCTCGATATCATCTCGTGTTATTCGCCCTTCAAAGCTTAAAACAAAAGCAATGCAATGGAATCCAGGGGCAAACCGCAAGAATAATTCACCAACACCTTCGATAAACTCAACTATTTCTTTGTGTCGTTCTTTATTTCCAAAACCAGGAGTGTCAATCAAAAGAATTTCTCGTCCAAACCTTTCTGTTACTTTCAAATCAGCAGCTTTTGTAACTGAACGCAAGGCCCTTTCAGGATCGAACAACTTTTCTCCAGCCAGAGTATTGCAAAATGCACTTTTACCTACGCCCATTTTTCCGACCACAATCATTCTTATTTCCTGAAGGAACTGTATCAGTTCGATTTCTGAAATAAGTAAGTCTCGATACGGAATATGTAAAACAAGTATATTTATCGTCTTTGATATAATGATTCAAAATTTTAAGTTTTGCTTTACAAATAAATTTTCCTTTTTATGTTCACAGTTTTTATTTGCAATTTTTACATATAAAGCTCGAAAGAAATTAAGTTTCTTCATTGAAAATTTCAATACATTTAAAAAAAAATTGGTTTCACTTACTGATAATATGTTTAACAAAACTGCCATTACTTGTGGTATCACCACCATCATCATCTTTGCTGTCTACAGGATACACACAAATAAAGTAATTCTTAAGAAAAAAGATTTTAATTCATTCAGATAAAATTAATTGTCAAATATTATCTAATTGGTTTTTGTTTCAAATACAAACTTCTAATAAGGAAATTTACATCCTTAATGAGATTCATTTTTCAAGAATTCAGAATGGCAAATACCTCGGTATTGAACTCGATTTAATTTTGGGGAGTATTTATACTGTGGTTTCATCAATTTTCTTTGGCATCAATTTTCGTGGATTGTGTAAAACAGACAGTTTCAAGGATACGTAATTTCGTGGACAAAAGCATTGCTTATACAAATGAATGTCATATTTCGTAATTCAATAAACATTTGAATTCGTGGATCTGCTTAACAATAAAATCCATGAAAATTGGTGTTCAAGGAATATTGATGAAAAAAAAGTTAGTGAATTTCAAGTCATCAGAAGCCTCCAACTAACCAAAGGTATATTTTATATATATTTCCCTAAATATTTTCGACAGTATACAGTTAAAATATATCATTGAGGGAGTCAGCAAGATTGCAGTTCCCCTCGAGCAAGTCTATTTCCCTCGGCGCTTGCGCCGAGGAAAATCGGCTTGCTCGAGGGGTACTGGAATCTTGCTGACTCCCTCAATGATATACTTTAACTGTTTTATTATGCCGATACAAACAGGACATTTGAAAACTTTTATTTAATACTGTATTCTGTAACAATGTTAAATTCCAACAGGAATAAATAAAAAATAACAACAAAACAGAATACATACGTTAGGCCACATCAATAAATTTTTTTGTTCGTCGGACCCGCGCGCTCCTATTTATACAAAATTATTGACTCGCGATGCATTTCGATTCATTAATAAATATTCATTAGTTTATTCGAAATATTTCTATGTCTGTCGTAATTTGAAAGAAAATGTTAAGTGTTGCGAATAGGTGTGTATCAGTTCCTCCAAAAAACGTACTTTTTTTGCAGGGAATCAGTCTGTTTTGCAGGGAATCGGTTTATTCACGGTGATTTTCAGGAAATCAGCAAAATATATCGATTTACTTTTATATAGTGAAAAATTAATAGAGGTTTAATAAGCACACAGATACCGTTTTTTTGTAATATCATTTACGCACCTTATACCTGTATAACGTCTTCTTAGGAATAAATTGTCAAAATAAGCTGTATTTTCAAACTAAGTCGTTTTTCCGGAATAACATGTAAAGGATATACCAAAATATATTCATCAGTTTAATTTCCAAAACATTTTCTTAATTGTTAAACTTGGCAATCTTATAAAAAGCAAAAAGAAAAAAAAATGTTTTTTTTTACCGTATAGCGGGTTTTCTTGGCGGGTATAAAAATAAGCTTTATGCGTGCTTGAAGGTATACAAATAATTTTAATGTAATTTATTTTAGCGGGGCCAGGGTAAAGCTCTTTGCAGTTGAACACAACGAAGAGTACTGACTATTTAGCAAATGAAATTTTAGCGGGCTCCCATAAAAACGCCAAAATGAGCCAAAATTAGTACCCCGCTAAAATAACAAGCTGCACAGTATCTTGTTTATCAAGCGCAATATCTTTATTTTTTTCTTCAAGTAAAATTATACAAGGTGGTATAGACATTATCTGAATAACTGCAGATTCATCTGAATTACATAAAAAAAATATCAATTTAAAGAAACCATTGTATTCAAGACCTTTATGCCTTAGAACAACAAATATCCGTAGTCAGTATTAGTGTATTTTTTATGAACAAAAGGCATTTTTTTAAAGAAAGTGGATATAATTGACAGATACTTTTGTGACGCCTGCAGAGCAGACCTACACTTTTAGATCAGTTTACCAGCTGTCCGTCCGTAAGTTTATCTGTAGTATTTTGCTGATATATACATGTACTTTGGTGCTATGACTAAACGACCATTGTTCCCCATTTCTTAACCTTTGGTTTATATTTAAAATATCTAATGCAACCGATAAACAGCCTACTTTTGACATTTAAGAGGTAAATTTGTGTTGTTTGGATGCGCATTGGATTTCATAATATATCATGAAAATGTTCAAGCGTGGCAGCTTTTTGACATTGACTTTTTAACCTGCTTTTAACGCTTAATATGAGTATTGTTATACTGTACTTTAAAACCGTGTAATTACAGTTCAAACAATCAGAAATTTAAATGCAATGGCAATGTATCGGGCTCGGCTTATGTAAATGGACTGCAAGATGTAGATTTAAGACAGACTGATTTTTTTTTTCTAAACGCTTACATGTATCAGGGAACAGTTTTTTTAGCAAGCTATAAATTGAATTCTGCAGGGAAAAATGAAATGCTGTCTTCATATATGTACACCGGTCACGGTAGCCTAGTGGTAGAGCGTTCGCTTCGTGATCGGGAGGCCCGGGTTCGATTCTCGTTCGCGGCGCCGCGTCATACCTAAGACGTAAACAAAGGTAGTGACTGTTCCTTCGCCAAGCGCTCGGCACTAGAAGTGAAAGTCACGGGTCTTTCGGATATGACCTTAAAAACGTAGGTCCCGTGTCACGGTAGGCGCTGGCACGATAAAGAACCCTCACTGCTCAATGGCCCTGAGTGCCGAGTATAGGTCTAAATTTGAAGCTCTTCACCGGCATACGGTGACGTCTCCATATGAGTGAAAAATTCTCAAGAGGGACGTTAAACAATATACAATCAATCAATCAATCATATATGTACATATCAGAGAAAGGTTTTTTTTCTAATCAAGAAAAAAACAAATTTAGAGAAACTGTCAGTGTTGTGTGGTACAATATATAATTTCAATATTATTATATTACTTTTGTGATTTATCATTCTTTTCATTAATAAATAAATATTGAACATAAATAATAGATCTCTTGCTTTTAATGTCATAATCTTATGTCTGAGGCATCACGAATGACATATTTAATAAGGTAATCGAGTTTCGCAGGAAGATATGTTGAGCAAAATAGGCTTAATTCATATATTTAACTTTGATTATATAAGATCAATTTATCACAGATTTTTGATATTTTAGTACCATTTAACAGAATTGCCTAAAATTTGCTACTGATTATATGATTAAAATTCAAAGGTAAGATGAAAATTTTATTATCGAAATTATATCGGATGCTTTATATCTTTAATATTTTGATTTACGTCTTAAGGCCTGATATATTTACATACAATATAATATACATTTTCTTACCTGCCTCACTACAGCAACATTTTCGATTGCAGGACGTACAGGCTTTTTCCGATCTTGTGTTTATTGTATCACAGTACAAGCATTTCCACTCTGTCAAAAAGCAATGATTATTATTTATAAACATGTTCACATTAAAGAGTCAGAAAAGAGTAAATTAAAGATATTTACCAGTTGATTCATTATTTAAATTAAAATATATTAGATTAAGAGTTATTCAACTGTCCTTGGGTTACCGCATAACATATTATTTAAATTCAGTTAAAACACTGTAAACAGAGAAATTTTCGCCCCCGTTGTATTTTCGTTCCTTTCGCCCTGCCCTCTGTTAGGCGAAAGGGGCGAATTCAAAGAATAGGCATAATTCTTAAATAAACTTCGAGAGTGCGAATTTAAAACGGGGCAAAAATGTTTGATTGTGTGAAAGGGCGAAAATTACACGGGGCGAAAATAACCCTGTATACCGTAGTTTACAAAAGTTTCGAATCAAATTCATTTGAATATTTTAATTTAAGATTTACATGTTATACATGTATGCACAACAAAGTATTTACGGAATAGAGAAATTCGGTCTGATTTTTAAAACCTATTGTATAGTAACACTGATGTACATGTACCTGATTCCGATGATGAACTCCGCCAATGTTGCAATTCTTCTTTAACAATTTGATTCCCCATAACACATTTGCAGAAAATGTTATTCAGAACCAAATAACTTTGACTTCTGATAAATGTTTAAATAAATGTGCATCGGTAGTACTTGTTGTTGAGCTCATGTGAATGTTTTGATGCAGAACGGAATAATTTGATCGATTTTCTGGTAACAAATATTACATTGTATACATGATGTGCCAATAACCATTGTGTGATTCTCAAGTTATCTTTTTAAAAGAAAGAAAAAGAATCCTTTGAAGAACGTTGTGACAATATTTAAATGAACAAGTTGGTACAATAAAAGGGGCGTTTTGGAATACGATTTTGCCAAAAGATCGGATGATAAAATAAGATAAAACTATTCAGGTTACCGAAGTGTTTCAATCTGTGCAGCACTTAAAAAAGATAAAATATAATGGATGTATATTTTTATATTTTGAAAGGCGGTTACAGTGCAAACTAGTATTGTGCTGAAAAAAATATCAGCAACATTCCATCAAACGAGTTTTAAAACAATAACTAAAATTATTCCAATACTTTAATAATTTTGAGTACAAAACATAATTTAAGCAACCAATTTTTAATCATGCAAATACATTTTTATTATGAATTCTGGTGTCGCCATTTTTTTTATCTTTTCACTTGACGTCTTTCCTTAAAAAATATGTCCAATGTAACTTTATTTCAATGTTAAGTATTTGCTATAATTTTTAATTGTAACCATGCTTTTTTTTTTAATTTAATTCCCTTTCCATATATTAAACATTTACTTTAAAGTCAATTTTATTTGAAATCTACAATTTATTTTAGATTAAAACAATTTCATTTCATAACAAATCCCATTGATATATTTTCACTAAGATACATAAATGTTCAAACCATCAAATAAACAAGACAAATATTTCAGGATCGAAAAAGATTCAAAAAATATCTAACAAGACGTAAACGATCGATTTTCTTCTGAAGATCTTTGATTCTCATTCTGTCATGTGGTGTCTTGATTTCGTTTTCTACGGCTTTCCACGCCTCAAGAAGCATTTCGTTTGTGTAGATAGCACCCATGTCACTACATAAAGCGTCGACCCTTTCAAAAAATGCCCGTGCACATGCTTGTTTCTCATAGTCTGCACTGTCACGATAAACAGGGAATACACGGCCATTCACTTCAGCCAACAGCTTACAAAACTCTGGATTTGTTGTTTTTAGTAAGTTTTCTATGTCTTCTTGGCCGTTGCATTTATTGTAAACCAATATCATGTGATCCATTACATTATTTCCAAAAACCTTCTTGACATCCTCAATTACTTCTTTGTCTTCACTTGAAAATCGCTCATCAGCATTCAGAACCATAGCAATGCAATGAAACCCTGGCGAAATGCGAAGCATATGTTCACAGATATGGCTGGCAAGTTCAATAATTTCTTGATCACTTGTTTTATCTAAATCTCTGAACCCTGGCGTATCAATGACAAATATGTTTCTTTTGAACCTGTCAACGCATCCTACTTGGGCAGTTATTGTTACGGCACTCATTGAATCTCCATATTCAAATCTGTTCAAACCGAGAAGAGTATTGCAAAGCGAACTTTTGCCCACTCCCATTTTTCCTACAACAATCATCCGTATTTCTTTCAAAGGGCCATCTAATAATTAAAAAATATATTTTTTTTCAAAGCATTTCTTCATATTTTGTGAAAAATCATTGACATTATGTTTTTCTTTTGACATTGTTACATAAAATATAAAATATACATGTATTCTATCATACCAATTTTAATTTTCAATTTTCTCCCTTTGTTCCAATCTGTAAAAAAAATGAAACTAGATTTATCTCATTAATTAATAAAAGCATAATAAATAAAACATTTAAAGGAGCAATTTATTTGCTTACTTTTACCTAGAACAATTAATTATATTATGTAAAATATACCTGATTGCTTTTCATGGCAACCCTCTAAACCAGTCCCTCTTCCACTTGTATTACCCATATTTTCTGTTCAACAGCGGTCTGGTGGAAGATTGATGTGTACTAGTAAGAAATAGACCAACATAGATTTTTTTTGGTCTTGCATCAATAATTAAACCTTTATTTTTAAACTTATCTGGAGACAAGCCAAGGTTTCTAAACGTTAAATATATCTATGTAAAATTAAAGTCCGAAGAATTTTAAAACACCCTAATACAATTAAGGCCACAAATACATGTACTCCTCGTTACAAGGAGAAAACTACCTTCTCGATCAGGATATATAATTTATAAACATAGTCATTCTCGAAAGTCTACCTCACCCCTCTCTGCTGCACTATTTTTGTCGAAATTTCATTTATAGGTGTCGCGCTAAATCCACAGAGATTGGTTCATTTTAAGTTAGGTAATTTTTTTTTTCGATTAAAAATAATGAATTTCATTTGAATTGATGAATAGTCCGCAATCATACATTTGAAGCAAGAATTTTGTATTCTTCAAGGAAGGGAGACAAAATAATGCATGAATATACATATAAGTTCTTTGAATGGCATTATATTTGAAAAACGCATTTACATTCAAATTTATACTACAATTACAAAATGGATAGTTACATGTACATCAATACAGTACTGTAATTATGTGACTTTATTACATATTGCCATTGTGCACCTCCTCCTTTACTCACAGGTGCTTGAGGAGAGGAACCACCCTCGCCTTATATAGACGCCTGGTCATGTTAGACCTTTTTCACATATATTATATATGTATGACACATTTATGAAATAATCTATAGTATCAATTCAGAATATTTGCTTACACTAACATTTTATAAAAATTCGAAACCACACTCTATGATTTTTAGCAATAGAATGTAGGGTAGATTTTCCAGAATGTTTGTTTTAGGTAACTTTTCGATGTGTTGGTATAGATCTTATAGATCTTATCTCAAATATGTCAATGAAAGATTATTTATGAGAAAAAAAGCGCAAGGGTCTATATCAAAGGGGGGGGGGAGGTCCTGTCCTTTTTACTTTTACTTTTTGATCCGAAACATATTTAGAGTTCCCCGGCCTCAGCAAACCATGCACTTTGTCATCCGTTATAACCATATGAAAGGAGGGGGTATCATTTAGTGAGCTCATTGCTCATAGTACCTCTTGTCGAATTTTTTCTTTATTTTTTGTTGTTGTATGTTCATTACAAATTTTGAAAGCACTGACTATACAGTATTGATATTATAGCCTCAGTCCACGAACTTTTTTATAACCCCTCGTATATTATTAATACACGGATGTCACATTCTTTTATGCTTCTTTTAATGCTTTGTGTTTTTAAGCTTTTTAAGCTTTAAGTGTATATTGTTGATTTGTCAATATTTATCCTACAGCAGTCCATTGAATGCAGTGTATGTATGATGGTGTATTGTTCTTATCCCGAAACTTCTAGTTATCGTTGTCAATACCATTTATCTTTTCCTAAAAGCAGGTATTGTACAATTTCTGATGACTAAAAGGTTTTATTTTTGTTTTCATATAAATTCAGATTTCTGAAGGCAATTTCTCCGACATATGTAATGATAATATGCACGATAATGATTTTCAAGGTTTGGCTGATACCCAATTTTAATAGTTGCTAATACAAAATATGATTTGTAGATGGACGATTTTGGAAACAAGTCTCGAAATTAATCTGAAGTCTCTGAAAACTGGTAGAACATGTCGAATCATTGACTTCCTACATTTTCAAGATATTCTACATTGTTGGAATGAAGTTGTGGCATTATTTTTCAAAGAGAAAGGGGGATATAAACATGAATTTGAAATTGTTCTTAATTATTTTACGGAAAATAAAATCGAACTAACAATAGTACGGAGGGAAAAAACTACCAGCAATCCTGCCTATGAATGAAGAGGTTGATATCTAATAAGCAGCAAATGACTTATTATTCTGGATATAGAAACGATAAAGATATAGCTTCTCAATTTTTATGTGATAGAGTGGATAAACTTTCTAATTATTAAACAGTATTGCTGATAGAAGTGTACTTCAATGCATGATATGGGAATGAAGTACAGTGAACACTATTTTCGAAATATTACATGTTATGGTAATCTCCTTTCCCTAGTTAAACTTGAATGAACAAGATCATGATCAGTAATTGGCATTATTGAAAATTATCATGTTTACATTATTTTTACACAAACAAGAAATGGAAAAACTATATTTTAGAATTATAACATTTTATGTAATTAGCGGGGAAAAAAATCTTAGGTCTAGATTTTTATGCCCCCGTAAACAAAGTTTCGGGGGCATATATTTTTTTCGTGTCCGTCTGTCTGTCTGTCTCTCTGTCTGTCTGTCTGTCTGTCTCTCTGTCTGTCTGTATGTCTGTCTGCCTCTCTGTCTGTCTGTCTTTTTCTCTGTCTCTCTGTTTGTCTCTTTGTCCGCAAAAACTTTAACCTTGTCCATAACTTTTGATTTAGTGGAGCTGTGACTTTAATATTTCACATGTTTATTGTTTGTGACAAGACCTTTCTTTGGAAACCAACAAATTTGACCTTTTGACCTTGACCTTGGATTCTGACTTACTTAAACACAAAACTTTTGAACTTTTATTTTGGTCATATCTTTTGAACAATAGATACCAGGACATTTATATTTCACATATATATTCTTTGTGGATAAACTTTTCATGGGATACCAACATCTAAAGTATCTATGAAAAAACTTTAACCTTGGCTATAACTTTTGAACAATAAGTACTACAGCTTTCATTCTTCACATATATAATTCTGATGAAAAGACCTTTCATTGGATACCAAGAACCTTGACCCTTTGACCTTGACCTTGGAGCTTGACCTACTTTGAAAATACAACATTGACCATAACTTTTGAAGGATTCGGGCTAGGGCATTCATACTTCACAAATTTATTTCTTGTGGCAAGACCTTACATTTGATATCCAGAATTTTGACCCTTTGACCTTGACATTGGAGTTTGACTTACTTTTTACAAACATTAACCTTGACCATAACTTTTGAACAGTAGGGGCTAGATCTTTCACATTTCACATGTGCAATCCTTGTGACAAGACCTTTCATTAGATATCAAGAATCTTGACCTTTTGACCTTGACCTTGGAGTTTGACTTACTTTTTACAAACTTTAACCTTGACCATAACTTTTGAACAGTAGGGGCTAGATCTTTCACATTTCACATGTGCAATCCTTGTGACAAGACCTTTCATTAGATATCAAGAATCTTGACCTTTTGACCTTGACCTTGGAGTTTGACTTACTTTTTACAAACTTTAACCTTGACCATAACTTTTGAACAGTAGGGTCTAGAGCTTTCATATCTCACATGTGTAATCCTTGTGACAAGACCTTTCATTGGATATCAAGAATATTAACCTTCTGACCTTGACTTTAGAGTTTGACCTACTTTTTCAAACTTTAACCTTGGTCTTAACTTTTGAACTATAAGGGCCAGCGCTTTCATACTTCCCATACGTAATCTTTGAGACAAAGCCTTTCTTTAGAACCCAACAACCTTGACCCTTTGACCTTGAAACGGAATTTGTCCTCTATCATAAAATGTTAACCTTGGTCAAAGCCCTGGAACAGGTGAACCTAGCATTTTATATTTCGCATTTCTTGTGAAAAGGCTTTACTTTGGTACCAACATATTTGATCTGCATTTGAGAAAGCTTAACCTTCGCTATGTTGCCATACGGGGGCATCAGTGTTTCACAAACACATCTTGTTTTCTTAACAACTGCAACCAAAAAAAATTATGGGCGCCAATCAAAAATATCGTTTTTCAAATATCACTTCTTTTTGGCAAGATATTTTATTTAAAACCAAAAATTTTGACCTTGACCTTGAAAATTTCTGAGCTTACGAAAAAACTTTAACCTTGGTCATAACTTTGAACGGTAAGGGCTAGGGCTTTCATACTTCAAATATGTAATCCTTGTGAGAAGACCTTTTATTTGATATCATCAACTTTGACCTTGACCTTGGAGTTTGACCTTCTTTTTACAAATTTTCACCTTGGCCATATCTATTGCACAGTAAAGGCCAGCGCTTTCATACTTACCATATGTAATCTTTGAGACAAGGCCTTTCATTAGAAACCAACAACGTTGACCCTTTGACCTTGATCCAGAGTTTGTCCTTCATTTAAAAATGTATACCTTGGTCAAAACCCTTGAACAGGTGTTGCTAGGGTTTTTTATTTCACATATGTATTTCTTCTGAAAAGGCCTTACTTAAGATACCAACATAATTGATCAGCATTAGAGAAAGCTTACCTTGGCTATGTTGCCATACGGGGGCATCAGTGTTTCACAAACACATCTTGTCTTGTTAGAAAAAGCGGAGTAACATGCTGCTTTGGATACATATAGAGCAAAGAATATCAAGAATGCATAAGTGAGTCAAGCATTACGTATACATATAGATATCTTAGCATGTAGCAATGTAGTGTAAAGAAGAAATGAAATTATTTGATATATTTTATATCATATTTATTATGTCGTAACCTTTTATAGAGTATAGCCCCGGATTTTTGGGCATAATTGGTCCCAAATTTGTCCCCACCCAAACTACGGTGACAAATGTGAAAAAAGTCTGCAATGGTGACCCAGACGAATGCCCCCATGATGTTGGATGTGTTGTCAAAACCATTAGTATAAAGAACAGTTATGCATACTTGTGCAGTATATATCAAGCAAGCATATTTTTCGGTCCCCATTAGCAAAACTAATTCCATGTGTAGTATTTTCAGTTGTTAATGGACATTTATGCAATGTTTTACTTTACCTCTCTTCATAGAAGTGCATTCCATTAGAACTCTTTATAATTTGTTTTTCTTCTATTTAGAGGAATCATCGATCCACAGTGTAAAAGCAGGACATACAACAAATCAAAATAACTCAATCAACAAAATAGCTACGTCATCTCCAAAAGATGTCTCTTTTCTTAAAGAATAATCTACCTATAGTGTAAAAGCAGAAC